CAAACTTGTGGAGTGTTTTCGACATCGAGCATAGTGATTATTCTGTCTGCTCAAGGTAATCGACTGCAAAGTTAATCCATCTAGTTTTCTTTCTGGGTTGAACCAACTACATGATTAGATTCAAGTGGCTAGAGGCTCGAGTAATCCATACGCTTAGGTTATCGTGTATCACATTGGTTATGTCTCTCGCCTCATATATACGTCGCCAAATGTTGATGCAAGAATTTGGTTTCGGTCGTTAGCGTCGATAGCTCAAGCGAACACGTGCACACAAAGAAAATTGCACACCAGTGTTGTGCTAAGCTGAACACACTCCAATGCCCAAGTTAGCAAAGAGTTTCAATGATAGTAGGAAAAGTAGAGTTGTGAGAGTGTACCTCGCGCCCAAGTTTCTTCTCTTATTTATCGTGGGAGTCTTCTTGAGATTGTCAGGTGGATCAACTTTACTAGATTTCGGTCGGCTTAGATCATGTCGGGTTGGGTGGTCCAGCCTCGATGGTTTTTGATATGAGTGGCTCAACCATGGTACTTTCTCAGACTTCAATTCCTGAGAATTTGATGGGGTAATTTCAACCATAATAGTAATAACTATTGACCTACCTTGTGGTGACAAGTTTTTTGCGTGCCTAGTCATAGTTACATACTAATACTTAGAATATAAGCAAGTCTACATAAACATTTACATGGGGCTTTGATACCAACTAAAGACCCAATTGTTTTGGACTTAGAGATGTTATTACTTGCATGCTAGTGACATTAAAAATCTTTCGAGAAAATGCTAAAGAACAAAATACACTGGCATAATATATGATTTTATAAATAATTAAAAACTTTTTTCAGATCTCATAAGAAAATGTGACAAATCATGATTAAAAAAAAGTTATAACTAAAACCAATAATTTTTTTTAGAGTGAACAAGTTTAAAAATAAAAACATGAATTAATAAAAATGTCTGCATCAGCAAAACCAATGTAGGCATTCTCGTCACGCCTAGTACTTCGTTGTTATTATTTTAAAAGAATATAGAATGAAGGGACGAGTATTAAAAGTACTCTAAAAGTAGCTCTGCTAAAAGGGTCGGAGATGTATATACACGTATAACTAGTTCATGGTGTCATAACACATGTGGAATTTAAATGCTTGTTTGGTAATATCTTGGTTCATTGTTCATTGTTTCTCGTTCCAAGAGTTATTTAGAAATTTAAGCATTTGCAATTATTTATGTTAATTGTCTCTTTTTTTTTTTTAAACATTCTCAAACTTGTATAGAGATTTTGGAAACGACAACCATGGTGCTTTCTCGACTTCAATTCCTTGAAATTTGATGGGTAATTTCACCAATAATAGTAATAACTATTGACCTACTTGGCGGTGACAAGTTTTTTGCGTGCCTAGTCATAGTGACATACCAATACTTAAAATATAAGCAAGTCTACATAAACATTTATATAAGCCCCAATTGTTTTGGATTTGAATTCTTAGAGATGTTACTCTTGCATGCTAGTGACATTTAAAATCTTTCGAGAAAATGCTAAAGAACAAAATACACTTGCGTAATATGATTTTATAAATAATTAAAAACTTTTTTCAGATCTCATAATAAAAATGTGACGAATCATGATTAAAAAAAAGGTTATAACTAAACCAATAATTTTTTAGAGTGAACAAGTCTAAAAATAAAAACATGAATTAATAAAAACATCTGCTGCCAAAACCAATGTCACAACCAGTAGGCATTCTCGTCACGCCTAATACTTCATTGTTATTATTTAAAAAGAATATAGAATGAAGGGACGAGTAATTATTACTCTAAAGTAGCTTTACTAAAAGGGTCAGAGATGTATATACACATATAACTAGTTCATGGTATCATAACACATGTGGAATTTTACGGTCTGTTTGGTAACATTTTGGTTCGTTGTTTCTCGTTCCAAGAGTTATTTAGAAATTTAAGTATTTGCAACTATTTATGTTAATTGTTTCTCTTATTCTCATACTTGGATAGTGATTTTGGAAACTAAA